TAAGCCCTGCTCTGCCACTCACTTGCAGGATGACCTTGGCCAGACTACGTGGCTTCTCCCAAGGCTTCATCTCCTTCTGAAAGCCCTCAGGTATTTCTGTCCACCATGACCCACTTTACTATTAGCATGAAAGACTCTGTATGGGCTGTTGTCCCTTTCTTTGTCACTCTTTCTTTGCTGCCAAATGTATCTGCCCCACTTCTCCAACGTGCCAAGGGGCTTGCTTGACCTGGGGGTCTTGGTGCCCCTTGGCCATCCCTCTAAATCTTAACCTCTGTGCCCCATGCAGGCTGAGGAGCTAGAGACCTGCTCCTGCTACAGAAGCAAGACCATGGAGAGCTTTTCTCCACTTCCATGGAGCCTGCCTGGACCAACATATAGAGGGACGGTATGTTGGAGGAAGCGGCCTGAGGCCATCCATCACCACCACCCCACCCCGAACACTGACAGTCCCCTGGAACATGTCAGACCCTGATGGCACCAGCTGTAAGGGATTTTTACCACAAACCATTAATGTGAGATGAAAGGAATATTTCCAGGGTACGTGCTAGGTATAGGGCACTATGGTAACTGCCTTGAAAAATCGTTCATTTAACCTTTGCAACAACTGTACGTCTGGATTGGAGATACTGAGGCTAAGGGAGGTTAAAGTCACTTGTTTAAAAATCCCGCGAAAGGTAAAAGTGGTATAACTGGGATTCAAACCTCACAGAATACTGGAGGTTAGCACCAACACGTGGAAGGCCAAAATGCAAAACCCAGACCCTGACCCCATAGCAGGTGTCACATGCATAAATGGCTCCAGGGACCAGGAGGTCCTGTGAATGAAAGTGGCAGGCTGGGTAGGGACTCTGGTGAATCGAGAACATAAAGCCTGTCTACATGGGGTGACCACTGATCAGCTCCATTGGAGTGTTGCCATGAGGGAAAGCCCACGCAGTGTGGCCAGAGAAGCCCAAATCCAGATTTTTACACAAAATGTTTGTTTTAAAACACTGACAAGCCTGCTGCCTCGTGTAGAAGAAAGCCACCTGCTGACTGGGACCGTTCTCACTGGATTATTACGTGAGTGAGAAATGCACTTTCATTTTGCTCAGCCCTGACATACTGGGGTTTCTTTATTATAGCAGCTAACATTACTCTAAGTAATAAATGAGTCAAGGGGATGGGAATGCTGTGGCTCTGCCAGGAAAAAATGCTGAAAATGACATGTGCACCACGGCTGGCCGTGTCTTTTTCACACTAATAGGCCGTGGAGCCAATGGACTGTGAATGGACATCTGCTGTGCTGTCTGATGAGGTTGACGGGCAGTTTGATCACACACACACACACACACACACACACACACACACACACACACACACTGCTCTTGTATATATATTCTAGAATCTCAGTGTTAAAGGTGGAAGCAATGGGCTTCAGGGGCCACATCTATTAAAACCTTATTTGTAGTTCAGGAAGCTGAGAGGAGGTGGCCTGGCTCAAGTCCACAGAACTAGTCAGTGGTGGCATCTCGACTAGTACCAGGTCCTCAGATTCCTCTTCCTCATTCTCTGTGGTTCATCCCAGCTTCTCTCTCGACAAAGCCTAACATCTGGATAACCCAGAAATGACTCACAAAAGGGGACAGATGGGGAGGAATTGATTTCCTGATTCTGCATCTACCATTTCATCGGCTGAAGGGCATTTTTCATTATCAACTTTGTGGCTGGCAAAAAATTGAAAGAGTCTTCCAGCCAAGTCCTTCTCCTGGACTGCTTTTTTGCTGTTGTTTTGTGTCCTTTTGACCGCTAGCCTCTAGCGGTGACAACTCTTGTTGACCCATGACCCCACCAGCCCCTGATTCACCCCTGTGCCTTCGAGCATGCTGTTCCTTCTAGAATGTTCTTCACCACCAAGCCCCCTCCACCAAGTTAAATCACGACTTATTCCTCCTTCAACATCCTACCTAACTGTTCCATTCTCTGTGAAGCCGTCTTCAATTCTCGCAGGCTGAGTCAGTGTTTCTTTCTGTCATGTCCCTGTGATGCCCTGTCTATGCCATTCTTTGACCACTCATGGTACAGAACTGTAATTTTTCTTCACACCTTGATGGCTCATGTGCTTCAGATGCTTCTTCCCGTCACTTAGCTTTCGGAAAGGGTGACAGTACATACAACGTGGTCGCCACCCTCCTCTCCTTACCTGAGTTGTTCGGACCAGGAGTGGACGCATGACACAAAGTAATCAGGCTGCAGCACCCCAACCCCTTTGACACAGCCTTCTACAAGGGTTCTGCCTTTGGGGACTGGCCCTTTGGGGATGGAAAATTGGCCACATTTTCTCCATTGAACCCGCACTCAGATTTAAAAATGGACGTTCTAGTTCGTTGTGGGGAACAGAGCTGTGAGGTCATGGCAGAGTGTCAGGGCTGGTGGCAGTGCCGGCCACGTGCAAGGCAAACAAAGCAAGAGCACGTCGGGAGGGGGAGGAAGTGGATAGGCCTGACAGGCAGAAGGAGGAAAGACGGGGGACACCTTGCGGTTTCGGGGAGGTGGAACGTGGCCTTGGTTCCTGAGGGCTTTCAGGCCCCCGCGGCCTGCCGTGCTCCTGCCTTGGGTTCCGCAAGAGCCCCCCACCAGGCCTTCACAGTATCGCCTCCGCCCCCTTCATTTCTTGAACTAGCTTAATGGGTTTCTGCTTCTTGTAACCAAAAGAGCCTTGGTTAAAAGAAGTTCTACCTGCCTCTCTGGACTGTCAGTTTCTTGAGGTCAGGAACTCTATCTTACTCTTCATGGTAGCACCAGAATGTGGCTCAAGGCACACAGGGTGCTCAAAATACATTTGTTGAAAGAGTCATGAATAAAGGAATGAATGAATGTGCCTATTGGTAATTAACACAGGGCGCTGTTTGTCCAGCTGGAATCCTGCCCTACCAGGCCTTTCTAATACAAAAAGCTCTTTCCCCTTTAATCATCACAGCTCCACCTCTTACGTCCTCCAGCATCTTAAAGTCCAGACTTTGACAGGTAGCATTGTCCTGAAGCATTTTTTGCTTTAAAAATCCTGGGTCTGGCACACTGGCATCTGGGGTCATGACAGATACAAATAGGAGACACAAATTGGAGATGACACTTTCACCTCAACCACTTCAGCTGCAGAAGGAGCCCAAGGTGACCCCCTAGACCTTTTCCTGAGGCAACATGGGGAGAAGCAAGCTGTCTTTAGAGAGATATAAGTATAGCTTTTATTTTTTTTTTTTAAACCAACCCAACATTTCCACTGGCAACTGTCAACATAGCTTACGACATGAACACTGTTTCTTTTTCAGCTATTTTTTCTTAAAAAATGTGTTTAAAATTAAACAGGTGATTTTTAATTTCTTCTTTTCCCTTAAAAAATGTATTTATGTCAATGCAGAAAGCCTAAAGGTCTGTGGGCAGTCTTTTGGTGATTTCATATGTGTGGTTATTTGTGTGTGCGTGCGCACGCGTGTACGTGTGTGCGTGCGCACGCGTGTACGTGTGTGCGTGTGTGTGTTTTAAAGGCAGGTCCTTTCAAAATTTGTTGGGAAAAGGTCTGTGGGGCACGCCAATCTCTCTATAAACCCAGGCTCCATGGGATTATGGCAGCTTAGATTCCTCCTACTGGGGCAAGAAATAGCCCACAGGCTGGAAAAAGCTTCAAGAGGTTTAAAAACAAGCAGGAAT